AGAATTATATTAAGTGAAACAAGTCAGGCACAGAAAGAGAAATATCACATATTCTCACTTATTGGTGGGAGCTAAAAATAAATAAATAAATTCACACACACACACACACACACACACACACACACACAAAATTAGGGGGGGGAGGAAGACATAACAATTGCAATTCCTTGTAGTTAACACGACAAGCATACAGAAAGGACAATGTTAGGAGGTAGCGGGGAGAGGGAGGAGGGAGGGAGGTTTCAGTAATGGGCCACGATAATCAACCACACTGTATATCGACAAAATAAAAATAAAATAAAATTTTCTGTTTAAAAAAAAAAAAAAACTGTACAAGAGATTGCAGAAAGTGCCAAGCAAGAAAAGCTCTAAAGCTGTTTCTTACAGGATAATAATTGATTTTATGAAGTACTTAATATAAACATTATTGTATAATAAAGAATTTGACTGGCCCTGGTTCATAGAAGGAAGATTCTAAATCCTTGAAATTTCCTGAATTATAGGAGTGTCTTTGTTATGCTAATGAGGCAACTCAAGGTGGGCCCATAGATAGCTTCAGGATGGGTGCTGGCCATGCCAAAAGACCAACCACATGATTAGAGGGTTGAGGTTTTGCACCATGTGTTATCAGCCCATCCTCCCAACCTCCAGGGAGTGGAAGGAGACTGGAGATTGAGTTCAATCATGGGGCTAATCAGTCATGCCTACATTATGAAACCCCAGTAAAAACTCTACAGACACTGAAGCACAGTAGAGATTCCTGGTTGGTAAACACACTGGTGTGCTGGAAGGGTGATGAGGCCTGATGTGATGGGGAGAAGGCACAGAAGCTCTGCATTCAGGACACTCCCACACTTGGCCCTAGGTGTGTCTTCAATCATTGGCTGTTCCTGAGTTATATCCTTTATAATAAAACTGAATCATAAACATGGTGCGTTCCTAGGTTCTATGAGTCATTCTAGTGAGTTACTGAACCTGCGGGGGGTCATGTGAACTCCCATATTTGTAGCCATTTGGTCAGAAGTGCAAGTGGCCTAGGGACTTCCCTGAACTTCCATCTGGAGTCTAAAGAAGAAAGAGTCATTGAGGACTGAGTCCATAACTCCTGGGATCCATGTTAACCACAGATAATTAGTGCTAGAAGTGAACTGCAGTACAGGAGCTGGGGTTAGTCTAGTTGGGATTAAAACAGAATAAATTTATGTAATAAATTTTAAAAATGGGCGAAATGTAATAAATTTATTCTAAACATACTTACTCTAAACTTTGAATATACGTACTTATCCCCTTATAATGCTACAATAGGCATTTTGCATATGTAAAGTTGCACATTTCAGAAAGTAAGCTCTTATTGGAGAAATACTACTAAATAGGTAGATATTTAATATATATTAATACTATAAAGATTTGCATAATTAAAAAATAATTTTTCTGTCATTTACTACAAAATGAAGCAATTTTATAACAAAAAAGGGAAGAACAAAGAGGAAACAGACCTTTAGCACCTTTCAACAAAATATTTCTGCTAAAAATATTAGATAGGAAAGTGTCATATCCTTTTTTGATACAGGCTACAGCAGTGTAATGTGGTAATTATTACCTGATCTATAAATTCATGTCAACTAAGAGCTAAACAGAAGGTTTAACATTTATTAATAGTAAAAAAAAAAAAAGAAAGAAAACACATAAGCAGGTTATACCTATCAAAAATAGTCAAAATACATTATCACCTCAGATTATTGAATAAAATTCATTATTGAATATTTTAAAACTAATTTCAATGTGCTTCTTTACATTTCACATATAAGACAGTACAATTAACTTCATGATGATGTTCTATATTTAATCAGTATGCATGGTGCTTACCTGGTTTAACAGCTCGCCCACATAGCTGGGGTTGTAGAAGAACTTGTAACATGGCAGGATTGTTTAAACTTTTCATAATTTGTATTGGATTTGGCTCTGGAAGTAAGCCCTTTTGATTACTGTGCATCTTCAATGAATACAGAAATAAGAAACATTAGAACAAGCATAAGAACAAAAGATGTAATAATAAAGGCCTTCTTCCAGAAATTCTTCTCATTCATCTGATTATCATTCTATTTTATGATAAACACAATTTGATTTGTATTATATATTTGTTATATACTTTCTACCACAGTTCTCAATTAAAACACGTGTTCTACAATACATGCGGGATGAAGTCCTCATAGAATATCTCAGTTAAATACCAATCAGTATTTGACAATTTAGTATGATAAATCTCTTCATAAAATACAAATAGAAAGATGACAAGGAAATCTGAATTTATTAACAGAGATAACTTGTTGACACAATATGAATACTTTGATACTATAAAGTAGCCTTATTATAATGTCCATCTAAAGTTTAATAATGTGGGTTGCCTTACAAATCAAAATTTTCTTATAATAAAAGTCTTTCTTCCATTAAGTCAACCCTCTAATATGAGAATAAGATGAACTAGCTTTACATACATGTAATTGGGTAGCTCCTTAAAATTACGAAATTGTTTTCAGTTTTAAAAACCAGCCTGACAAATGAAGATATTAATAAAATGATGTAAAAGGAAAACTATAAACTTCTAGCCATGAGAAAATGGAGAACTGTCATGTACAACTGGATATCTCTTCCAACCCCTCTACCGGTGAAAATGAGAGGGAGAAGATGATGGATCCAGAAACTGATATTAAACCTGTGAGAATCCCCTGGAGGGAGAAATGGAAGGTGTGAAGGTAAACATCTGCAGAGAGGATGTTTACACGGGTCCACACAGAAGATAATTTGGGGAAAGGCTTTTGAGTTGTGTAACTATATTGCTTCCCCCCGCATACCTTCAGGGGAGCATGGCTTTCCTGGATGGCACAGCAAGGTGGGAAAACAGCAGCATCAGCCCAGCAACAGCCACAGAACAGCAGGTTGGCACATAAGCACTGGGACAGTGGGGAACAGATAACAAGAGGTGCAGGCAGAGCAGCTGGGTCACTGAAAATCTCCTTCCCACCTCTCCCACCCTTCTCAGTTTCTCGCTCCTACACCCACTGTGTGTGGTAGAAGAGTTACAACTGAGGAAGGCAGAACCTGGGAACAGGGCTGGGAGTGGAGATGAAGAAAGGCTCTCCAAGGTGCAGGGCTGCCTGGCTAGAGTGGGAAAAGAACTGCAGTCGAGATCATGGTGAAGGAAGAGCTCCTCAGCCCCTGAGGTCTCTGCCTGCCTTCCCTAAATTCTAGCTAAGACCAGGCTTTAGCTCTCCCCTGTCCATCCCCTTTCCCCCAACCACTAAACAGTGATATACAAGAAATCTGATACCACCATCCCCTGGAAAATATGTATTCAGAGAAAAAAAACCAAAAAACTAGACATCTGGAAAATGTAGCCACTAAAAAATAAAGGCAACAAACTGAACTACCTATAAGAGACAAAGTAGAACTAATGGATAGAAATTAATAAGACTGTTTTTTTTTTTTTTTTTTTTTTTTTTTT